TCAACTCTATCAACAAGATTTCTATATTACTCATTAAGCCTATCACCTATATTCCTCATTCTCTATAAATCCGCCTCGAAGAATACAACTTCATCAATGTCACTAACACATTCATACATATCATGCAATTCCATCCTAGGCTCCAATCTATCTCGTCTCCTCAGATAAACATTCCAACAAGTTGATCCCTATGTAATTTAGCAAGTCTTGTATCAAGCCTATCCAGCCTATCTCTCATATCCACTAACAACCTTTCAAATCACCGCATCACCTCCTCAGACATGTTGATTTGGGTATTGCTTCCTGCTTGAACTTGACTCTCTCTTTTTTTTTTTTTACTTTTTTTTTACTCATTATTTTTTTACTTTTTGATAGAAAACTTGACTACAAATCTAGCAAAATAGACAGAAGTAGATTTGGATGCCAAATCAGCCCAAAAATAACTTTTGAAAAATTGACGAAATTTTAACGAATAAAAGACTCAACAATAATTGGAAAATATGAAGAACGCTAACTGGAAAAACAAAAAAACAAAGACTCAACAAAAAAACAGGGATATAACCTTAATTTTGGAGCCTAAGCTCTGATACCAATTGATGCGAACCTGTATAGTAACGGACAAAACATAACCCACAAGAGATTATCACAAATCCTAACAACGTCAAATATACCAAGGTTTTGGATCCAACCCGCAAATAGTGAACAGATCATCTGAAAATATATGGAACTAATGATCTCTTAATCACACAACTTATGAAATCACATCCAGATTTGTGGATTTGAAGTCAAGACAATGAATCAAGAAACCCAACAATAACGAAGATTGTAGAACCCCTTGATTACACGTGTTATAATTCACACCAAATATTTTTTATCACCACAAGATGTTCTAAATCTTCATAAGTTTAATGTTTTGTTCCATCAAGAACAAGTAATAAGAGCAAAGCTTCGAGAGAAGAAATCTCAATTTTAATTCAAGCAAAAAAGTCTTCCGATTACAATGTGGAATAATATCCCTATTTATAGGAAAATCTAGAAAATCTAGTTGAAACGGAAATAAACTCCTAAAAATACAAAAGTTACAAAAAATAAGAATTCTAGTCAAATAAAAGATCTCGCGAAAATTGAAAACTTCGTCCGGGAATTGTACTATGCGGTCGCATAGTTATATTAGATGCAATCGCATAGTTCATTCTTCAGGCTTCAATTTTGTCTCGGTATAAGGGCCTACAGTCGCATGGCTTTTAAACTATGTGGTCCTATAGCTTAAATTTAAATACCAACTTTTTCATGTGCAAAATTTTGTGACAATTTCGGATTGTATTCATAGGTAAAAATTCGACACCCGAGCTAAAAGTTATGTCCGTTTTAATCAACGTTGCTCATTTTTTCATATATCATCCAAAACTTTGAATCGAACACACCAAACATGATTTCGCCTTCATGATTTGTTATTTGGCTTGTTAACTTCAGCATTTTGGACTCCATAGCTCGAACAAATAATTGGCATGGCTTGTTAGCTCAAATCTTGGTTCTGGAAGCCCCAATCAAGCTCAAACCTCTCCTTAGCCTGTCATCAACTTGCATAGAAGCCTCGTTTGTTCGTGGCCTATCCCAGATCATATCACATATTTATGGCTATTTTTCTCCGAAAAGTTTAAACAGGTATCTATATATTAGACTGCAAAAGATATTCTTCAAAAATATTGAAAATTACAATTCATATTCTTTATGAGTAAGTAATATTCTACAAAAATATTAATTATAAGGCCTAATAGGAAAAAATCTCCCAACCTATTAGACGTTGTGAAGAAAACTTCCCTACTTATTTAGAAAGGCAGAAAATGTGTTTGCAACATTTTTTTTTGTGAAATAGCCCCACTATCATGTTTCGTTAGTTCTGCCATTAAATCCCAATAAATAGGGAAAATGGGGAAAAAATAGAAAGGACAAAACCCCCACCTATTAGATATGGTACATAAATTTCCCATGCCTATTGGAGTTGGCAAAATACCCCTTGCCGTCTATTTTCTTAATAAAAATATTGAAAATGACGAATACACCCTCCTATTCTTTCCAAGGCCTCATTTTTGCCAAATAATGAAATTTAGTCCTTCATTTTCTATAGTGCAGACTTTGATCCCAAAAACTTGCATCCAATAGCTAATTGATCCTTATTTCTTTTTCCAAATTGCTTCAAATGAGTCTGTCACAAACAAAACAAAAACAAACAAAAAAAAGTAAAGTTCACCAAAGTTATTTAGAAGTTAATAATTTGATGACATGAACGTTTAGTAATATGGCCTAAATAAAAGCACAAAACACACTTATCAAATACCTCCAAACTAAACATTTGTTCATCCTCGAATAAAACTAAACTAAACTTAGGTATGTAACATATTACTATCACAAATAAAAGACCCAACGTTGAACTGCTTACTATATGGCTAAGATTCAGATTTAAGTAACAATTTAGAAAAATCCAAACAACATCAAAAATAAATTTTTGCTTATCCGATGCCCAATTTTGTGTGTGCGTGATTAGCCAACATTGAGCTTATTTCTATATTAGAACACAACTAGTCAAGTGTTGTTGATTTATTCACAATTCGAATCCTCTTGTGGTCAGTTTTTCCGGACACCTCTTCAGCAAAAATCACTCCTTATGCTTACTTCTTCATCTTTTCCTTCACATGTTTGTCTTTATGTTTCTCGCCGCTTCAACTAAGGGAAATGTTTATCGAAGAGTTCGATCTTCCCTCTGTCGGGCCGTCGCTAGAATTGGTTGTCTTAGCCTTGATGGTCAAGTCATTTGAGTCATCCATGTCACTATTGGAGCCCAAATCAAATCCACGTTGAGACAGATTGAATGGTGTCAACGCATATTTCGTAGTCACAACTATCCCCAAACAGCAGCTATATGTGTGGTAAATTTCTGTGTTTTTATTGCCTTTGAACTTCTCATACTTAGGGGTCTCCTGCAATATAACAAGCAGGCATTAATATCAAGAACAAAATCTAACAATTTAACGTGATATTTTTGAAACCTCGAATATTCATTTTGGCCTAAACGAGCTAAAGAAAGTTTGCATAGACTCATATCTCCAGTTTTTGAAATAGAACGAGAGTAATAAAATGCAGCTTAAGGATTCTCTATCATATTTTTTTAATAGATTTTGTAATGTTTTCTTACCTTAAGTTTCTGCTTCCACCACCAGTCAGGGGCATCAATTCTATCCCCTTGCTAAGACCGCATGCAATTCCCGTGCATTGAAGTAAATTGAACAATAGCTTGTGGTCTGTTCGCATAAAACCCTAATGATTCTTCAGCTAGGTGATAGTCTAATCCTTCTCAACATTTTTGTTGAACAATTTACGTATGAGCTTCAAACCCGTTGTCGAGAAGCACTTCCCCGATGATGGCCCTCAGCAATAACATGCTCTACGACAGCTATGAAGATCTTATTTCATATTGGAATTCTATATCATTGATATTCTTTTTCTGTCTTTCTCTCATCCTTCCATTTATCCACACCATTTCTTCTTTTTAATATTTGCCATTTTTCTAATCTTTTAGCATTATAACTTGTTTTGTTAAGAATGCTTACCGAATTGTTCAAAAAATCACTTCAAAAACATATTTAGGATACAGTCAAGTACATGCACAAAGAATATCTAAGTCCCTCTTCCTCTCACGCGGTTCCCACCTAGAAAACTTGCGTGTCTATATTTTCTTTTTGACATGTTGGTTTGACAATGCACCCAGCACCTCGCCCGAATATTAGATCGTGTACATCTGCAATGTGGGATAAGGAAAACGGACATCATGTAAACAGATGGCCGAAATGGTTTGTGCTCAACAAGTGTTGATCTATGTTGCAACACTTGTGGCAGACACGTTGAGGATAAGCCAAGTTTCTGCAAACAATTGAAAGTATAAGAATGTCCAAGTCCAATATCTAAAAACCAAGTAAATAAAAGGAATATAAATTGGGTTGTTTTCCAATAAGCGCTTATTTAGAATCATTAGCTTGATTTTGTAACTCCTTACAATTGTGGCTTTAAAAGTATTGTTTCGACATTACAATGCTTGCAAACGCCTTTTTTGCCTATTTCCTTTTTTGCCTTCAAGGCTCCAAAAAGTCCATCAACTCCTTTTTTGTACTGATAATTTCCAAGAATTTTAGCTTCTTACATTTCTTGATATCAATGAGAGCATAATCATTGCTAGAAATGGTTGATCTAAGATCACCGACATATCCCGATCCATCTCTCTATCAAGAATTATAAAATCTGCAAAAAGATGAAATTTTCAACTTTGATTAGCATATTATCAATCATGCCTTGTGAACATTTGCTTGATCTATTTTCCATTTGCAAAGACAACATTGCTACTTTGCCTCCCCGAACATAATCTAATGTATACAAACAAAGGCATCAAATTATGGCTCGCTCCACAATCACATAAAGCACGAAAATTACAGGAATTTCCTATTGAGTAAGATAATTTGAAATTCCGTGAATCTTTTTAATTTAGGAGGCTTGATAAGCAACACCATGATTCTCTTCTCATTTAGGGTTATTTCATACTCTGATAGTCTTTTCTTTTTGTCAACGTCTCTTTCAAAATCTTTATATAATTAGGTATTTGCGAGATTGTGTGAATGAAAGGATTGTTAATAATAGAGGTGATAAAAAATGAAAGGTATAAAGAAGGTACGAGATATTATGTGACTATGTCCAAAAATGAAAAGTACAATCTTTTCCGGTGATAAATAGTGTAATCACCGACGGATTTAGGAATTCAAGTGAACTAAGGGTTATCTAGGGGAGCTTGCATGGCTGCTCCATGACCGCTCGAGCGACCATCGAGCAACCGCCAAATATATGGAAAAACAATTTTCGGTGAAGCCAGCACTGGCGACCACCATGGTTCTTTGGTGCTCACTCCGTCCCTAAGTGCAATTGAGTAATCATTATGAAATGACCTGCGAGACGTCTACTAAATCATTATGGCTTAAATCGAAAGGTCTGTATGCATACATATATGATATAAAGATATCACTCGCACATACTATATTTGCACGATCTGATTCATAATAACATAATGACTTCAAATTTTTTTATATCTACACAATTTAACATGGCACATTGCTCAAGACATTAAAGCTGATTTAAATCACTCATTGGCAGTTGCATTCAACCTAAAGTGTGAGAGTAGTGGGGTCCCATCAAGGCCTTTGGTGTAGCGGCACGTAGCAATCTCTTCGCTGGTGGTTTCTCGGTAGATGGCTGGATGTTCGTCAGACAATAACTCCTTGATCGGCCCATACACTTTAGTTTTACTGCTTTCTTGAAAATGCAATCTGAAAAAACTTGCGACTGAGATTCTTGGCCCTATATTCTTTGCCAATACTCTGTGATAGACGCTTTTGAACCTCGCATTGGTAATAAGCTGCAGTAATAAAACACCAAAAGTATAAAACAGACTTAAAAGTGTCATTTATCTTGTGAATGCATCTTCAAGATATCAAAATAGCAATAGGGAATAACCAAACTATAGATATTGCAATAGGAAGCCTTCTCTTTAGAAGTCAGTTTTAAGAGTGAGTTGTACTAAATGACATTAAATCAGTAATGTCTGGCACCTGTCTCGGGATAGCCCTCACTGTTTACAAGATGATTTTGAAGGTCAACTTCTATTAAAAGACTTACGTAAAGTCGCCTAATCGTGAATATGGACCACCATAGACATCAAAGTATTGACTCAAATTATGTTCCCTATCATTAAGGCTTGGTTTTTTAGGTTTATAACCATCTGGATACTCTTTCTTTTCAAACCGGTTCTATTGGCGAATAATTGCTATAAGTCACTCTAGAAATTAATTTTAATCACATTTTATAGGACCCACAACTTTTCCAACCACATGTTCCATCAAGTGTTATCGAAATCTACTAAATATCTAATTTTAATTTCTACCAAACAAACAGGGGATAAGTGTACTCGCCTCCACAAGGTCTCCAACATTTACAACTAGAGCTCCAGGCAAAGAAGGCACATCTACCCACTGATTTTGGTGCAAAACTTGGAGACCACCAATTTGGTCTTGTAAAAGTACAGTCAAGAAACTGCAATCAGTATGATTGCTGAGGCCTAACGTCAGATCTGGTTCAGGGCACGGTGGATAATAATGGCCAAGGATGTAAAGCCCCTCGGCACAATCCATGTTTCTCAAGTGATTTGGGTTTAGTCCTAATGCTTCTGAGAGCAATTCAAACAGTGTAAACCCCAAGTTCATTACTTCCTTCGTGTATTCCATCATGATATTTCTGCAAGATAGAATTGTATCACATTATCCATCAAGCTTTGATCCCTTCTCGCGAGATCAATGACAAATAGAAATAAAGATTCAAAGTCGGGAACAAGCAAAGTGAATGCACATTTATTTGAGAAATGCTGCATGTACAAGCAGTAATATCAACTAGCAAAATTTCATTAGATTTTGAACAAAAAGCAAAGTTAAACCAGTAAATTAAATTCTGCCATCTCAACACCTATAAATCTATATGCACAAGTGGCATTTTTTATTTTTTCAATTTTTTATTTTTTGATCGGGTAAATAAGTATATTGATCAAAATTTACAAGTGGCATTTTTGTATTTACGGTTGGGGGGATAAGTACACAAGTTAATATGTTTTAGAATGAAGCCACTTGTACATTAATATTTGCACATCATACTTGGTGTCAAGATTTGATTAGTGAAAACACTGTTTTTTTCTTTTTTAACTATTCAATTGTGTGTTCTCACGTCAAAAAGTGTAAAACTTGGCGTACATCATCCTTGATGTCAAGATTTGATTAGTGGAAAAACTGTTTTTTTAACTGTTCAATTGTGTGTTCCCACGTCGTAGAGTGGAAAACTTGATCTACACCAAGTATGGTTATAGGTTTTTTGCATCTAGCCGTGCTCAAATAGGAACATACCTGCACACCTCTGGAATTTCTTCAGGTTCTGGAGGATCAGGAGCCATAACAAAATAAATGCTGTCCCTCCAGTTAGCTGTAGACGCTTGCAGTAAATCAAAATTAGTGTTGAAAGTAATCTTCCTCTTAACATCCCGGGAATAATACTGTTTTTTCACCTCAGTTTCTAGCTCATGAAATTTTCTTATACCTTCAGTTACTTTATCCAAGATGCTTACCTGAATCCCATGATTGATGATCTGGAAAAAGCCCCAACTTTCACAAGCGTCTTTAACTTTATTGACGATTTCTTTACGCTTCACTGCATTTTCGTTTAAGCCTTCAAAATCAATTATTGGGATAGAGTACTCTGGACTGGCAGAGACTGATTTCTTTTCAAGTATATACTGATCATGGAAAAATATACGAGGAATTTTCGACAACCCTTTTTCCAATAGACCTTTTACACCAGTTTTTGTATCATCAAATTCTTTGGTTTCTCTTTTCCTATCATATTCAGACATCTTCTCTGTAGTCAGAATAGTGAAAGAAGAATAGACCGGGGGAATATATATGAATGGAAAATTTTGTTTATTTTGGACAGATTTTGGTGGGATTGTTGGGATATTTTCTTTTATGTGGAGGAAAAAACTCATTGGTTCATGTGCGTGAACAATAACCATGTGTTTATGGGTATATATTTTGGACTATGCTACATAGCCCGAGTTTAAATCCCGAGCTCCAATCCAGGGCCGAGGTGTTTCACCTCAGCCGTTGAACTTCTGCACTTGGGGGGGCTCGTCATCAAAATCAGGGGCAGAGGCGGCTCGAACGGAACCTGGGATTAAATCTCGGGTTCTTCAACATTTTCCATATATTTTTCTATTTCGTATTGTACAGTCGAGATTTTTGTTAGCTTGAAGAAATATAGATTGCACCCTCTAGTTGTAATTAGAGAATACTCTGTGTATCCATTATTTTATGGATAGTGCAGGTTTTGATTGGACTATGGCTCCTTGGTTTTTATTCATCACATCGGAAAAGTTTTCCATGTAAAATAATTGATCGTTGTTCGTGTCTTGATGTGACTGATCTTATTTTGAATATTTTTAACATATACAATTATGAGAAATGGTGCTTTACTTATTTACTTTTAGGGAAAAGAATCCTTTCATTGAGTGTCGATTTGTTTGCATCTTTCCTTACAAAGATATAACACTATAGTTTTAAAAAATTAGAGAAAATCTAGACCAGAAATAAAAATAAAAATCTCTCAATTCTTGAATCATATATTTTATGATAACTAAAGGAGATACAGCAAAGCACGTATCTTTTGTCTTTTTGTTTTTCTTATTGGATTTATTGTCTGAGCGATTAGTCTGTAGACAAGTAGTGCAGTACAAAAAGGAGTGGCCCTTCAGTCACATGTCATCTTGTTTCTATATGAATTTCATTAAGTTGAGGAGTTATCTGAATTGAATGTGTGCTACAGTGACACTTCTTGCCTTATTCCAAAAATTACATAAACCCAATCACCTTCCTCCACCATCCAAATTATCTAAGGGTTTTCACATCCTTATTTATAAATAGAGATTGAAAAATAGGTAATATCGCATTTTATATGACGAGTTAGAAGTTCGAAACTTGAGTTTGTCATGGAAGTCTCGAGTTTACTATGTACAAGTCGAGTATGATAGGCATATATAAAGTTTTCTGTTGAAAATTCGAATTTGTTCGACAACCTACTTTCAAATTTGCATATTTTTTATCCCCAACTCCAAATTGCACTTTGTTTTTTTGCAATGAACATCTAAATTCAATATTTCGATAGTATATTATTTGTCATGTAAAAAGCTGTGTAACAAAAGTTGTATACTAATTCCTCACAAGTTCTAGAGTAAATTCAAAATTTATGTAGCAAGCTCAATGTTAGCTCAGCATACTCGATTTTGCTAAATAAAAAAAAATATCGAGATTTGACCTGCAATTTGTCCAATGTCTTGAAAATTTAATATTTGTCCAACGAAAACCATCATTTCAAACATTGCAAATATCAAGACGAAAATATTACGAAAGCTTACACAAGATTTGAATGCAAAAGTTGGTTATTAATCGATTATAAAAGCAATAAATTTATGGTTGGTGCAACGGGCCTACACCAAAAGACACCACACAATATTTCAAAGACTTACAGCCCTTATACAGGCTTTAACCCTAAAAAAATTAATAATAAATAAATAAAATAAAATAAATAAATAAATAAATAAAAAATTCACAAAACCGCAAATTGAATCAAAACCATTGGTTTGAAACCATTGGTTCGGGTCCACGTGGACCCACGGCTTTTCTTCCTCAAAACGAATCTAACCGTTTTAAAATGGTTTGGTCTCGGTTTCGATTTTAAAAAACCACACAAAATCGAACCGAACGAATTTTTTATAATTTTTTAATAAAAAATTAATTTTCATAAATCATATATTTTATGATTTTAAATTTTCAGCAAAAAAAAATGTAGAAATTATACTACATACTAACTTTTATTTGTTAGGCTCAATTATTGTATCCGTACTGTGGTTCTAATATTCATCAATTGAGCCATACCAATTGAGGAATATGTTAAAATTTATTCATTTTCTGCATAGTTTTAGTGCTATGACATTCATTTCAGTATAGACCGCATCCTTTCCCTAACTGTGTTTTCACTTGTCTTCATCTGCTCGCTGTATTATATTTACATAGTCGTTTTTTCAGTTTAGTTAATAAACCTATCGAATTCTTTTTCTATTTCAATGTGTTTAAAGTGCATTGATTTTATTGTTTTTGGTTATTTTCTGTTTATTATGCTACAAGGAATCATCAAACCTTACGCTAATGCAATTAAAAGTTGCAGGTAGACATTTCAAGGAATACCATTTTAGATGGCTCCAAATGTAATCTGAACTCTAAAGGATACAACGATTGGGATTTCGATTTTGAAATCAAAGAAACCAAATTCATATGCAAGAAATCTATTCAGATTAGATTTTCCGTTTTTTATCGTGTTATTGTATTTTATTTATGCTCTACCATTCTAAAAATATTATACTTTTAGGAACAATCATCCTTAAGAATCTTTTGTTCTCAAGGTCAAACAAGCTTTAGGTTACATGAAATTTCAAAATTATGAAAAAAAAAAAAAAAAGAACGAATATATCCCTACATAATGGCTTATTGCATAGTACGGGATAGGATTAAAAAGGAAACATTGTCCATTTAACTACAACGCATCAAACATGCTCTAAGAACATGCGGATAGTATTCTTCGATTTTTTCATTCAAAAGTATGTCATTTTACTTCTTAGAGCATGTTTGATCCATTGGAACTGTCTGATTTTACAATTTTATTGATCTATTTGGGAAACCAACTTTGAGGCCTCAAGGGCTTAATATTACATTAATTGAAGCAATGCATTGTGGCAAGATAATTTTGACTCCAAATTTTCCAAGTACAACTGGAACTTTGATACTAATTGAAAAAGGAAAATTTTACTTGTTCATAATTATTGCACATAATGAAGCAATACATAATTTTCCAAGTACAAATAGAACTTTGATACTAATTGAAGAGGGAAAATTTTACTTGTACATAATTATTGCACATAATTAATTGAAGCAATGCATTGCGGGAAGATAATTTTGACTCCAAATTTTCCAAGTACAACTGGAACTTTGATACTAATTGAAGAAGAGAAATTTTACTTGTGCAAAATTATTGCACATAATCGTGTCTATAATGTGATGTGGCAATCATCCGATTGTTAATGTACAAGTGTGAGATTTGAATTAAAGGTTGAATTTAGTACCACATATAATTATGAGTATCATTATGTAGACAATTTATGTACATGTAGCACTTCTCATTGAAGAATTGGGATACACTTTTTCGCCAAATGTAGAATCCTTAGTAGAAGCCTTGAACTTAGCAATAAAAGATGGCACAAAAATTCTGCCATTGATTAGTAGAAAACACACAATTTCTATGTTCACAGCAACCAAAATGGCAATGGCTTATGAGCTTCTTCCTATTCATGAAAAATTCTATACTTGTTGCTAAAAATTCTATACTTGGAAGATCCAAAGGCTACAAGAAAATATTTTTTTTGCAACAGACAAAAAATATTGCAGTAGATTTTTTACAATGCTCACCCATATATTGTAGATTCTAATATTGTCGTAGAGTTGAAAGATACTACAACGTGCAATGCATGCTGCAAAAGCCCTCAAATATATGTTGTTATAAAGTTTTTACAATGTAACTCATCCGTTGATTTTATTTTATTTTGTAACATTCTTTACTTCCTGTCTTAATTTTTTTCTAACGTTATTTATTTTTTTGTAATAAGTGTTTATTTTTTCGTCTGACTAAATTTTAATATGTAATACAAATTTTTAAAAATTTTAATTAATTTTTATCAAGAGCAAAATTTTTATGATAAAAGTTGTATAAAATTTCCAAAAGATATTTATTCCCAAAAAAATTAAGAAAAATGCATTAGACGATTAAACTTTCAATCACATAACAACTTACAAAAATAGAAATACTAGGTTGAACATTGCCATAAAGAAAAATAGCTGTCTCAACAATTAATGCAAATAAATAATAAATTATAATTCATAAATTATCAATAGGCGGTGGCATGCTAAACATTGTTGCTGGTTCAGCTTGTTGTGGAGACATGCCGAGTTGATTCGATATGAACTTATGCATTAGTGCCTCAAATTGAGAAATCTTGGCACGTATATCCAATAATTCTTGCATAAAATAGGTAGCAAAAGTTACACCTTTAAAAGAATATTCTCAGCACATATTTTTTTCATAAAAACTTTATTGGAATAATCGTTGCAACAAACTATCGTGTCGCTCTTTTATTGTTTCGCGACATATAGCACTGCAACGACATTATAATTACAAATATCTTGTTGCCGTTTCATATATTTTGTGACAAATAAATAATGTTGCGATTTTGTTAATGCAATGAATGGTCGGGAGTTGTCGCAAAATATATTCCATGACTAGACATTCGTAACAAACATATTTCTCGTAAAAACTTTATTGAAATATTCGTTGCAACAAATTGACTTGTCGCTCTTTAAATTTTTCGCGATATATATACATTGCGACGACATTACGGCTACAAATATTGAGTTGTCATTTCGTATTTTTGGCGTCACACAAATAGTGTCGTGATTTTGTTAATGCGGTGAACGGCCAAAAAGTGTCGCAGAACACATTCTGTGACTTATATAGAGTGATAATACTCGCAAAAAAGTATTGTCGTCGCTAAATTGCTTTTGTAACAAAATCTCAATTTTTGCAGCAACATTTTTTTTGTCAGGAAATCGGTTATTTTATGTCAATTAATTGACATAATTACTTGCACAACAGTGGTAACAAATATGTGACAATTGTAAAGTTTTTCATTATGTGAACATTGAGTCGGTTCAAAGATAGACTTAATATTTGATCAAATTTATTGTCAATATTTGATTACAACACCAAGAGTACCACTTACAAGTTGATATTTTTGTACAAAAACTAAATATCAATATTGTACTCGGTCTCTTGTGATGGGGCTCACCATTATTTGAAATTATTGATTGTCCAACACGGATTTTCATGTGAACATGCTATTTAGGTTTAGGTTCTCTATTCGTTTAATTCATCAACTACTGCAATATATGCCAACATCAATTCAATTCTTATGCTTGAACTAAAGTTTAAAGGCTAAAAAGATAATGTTTGTATTGGTCTTGGTGACATGGATCTAGCTTTAAGGACTAAACAGTCCACTACTCTTACGGATAAGAGTTCCGCTAATAAAATGGGACTCGAATAAATGGATCGTTCAAATTGCATAAGTCTTATGGTCATGAAGCATAAATTTTCAGCAACATTTAGGAGCACTCTGTCCAATAAGATAACTTCTAACGCTTAGCAAAAGGACAA